TTATTAACTGTACTCACCATGCTGTACATTATATCCCCAGGACTTATCATTTCACAGCTGGAAATTTGCACCTTTTCACCCGCTTCACCCGTTTCTCCCAGCCCTCCAGCCCCCAGCTCTGGCAGCCACCCATCTGATCTCTATATCTAAGAATTCAGTGTTTTGTTTTTTGGCTTTTAAAAATGTTTTAGATTCCACATATGAGTGAAATCATATGGTATTTGTCTTTCTCTGTCTGACTGATTTCACTTAGCATAATGCCCTCATGCTGGAAATGGCAAGGTTTCCTTCCTTTTTGTGGCTGAATAATATTCCTCTGTGTGTGTGTGCGTGTGTGTGTGTGTTTGCATCACATCTTCTTTATCCACCCATCCATCTGTGGGCGTTCAGGTTGCGTCCACATCGTGGCTATTGTAAACATACTGCAGTGAACAAGAGGGCACAGATGTCTTTTCAAGTGAGTGTTTTCATTTCCTTTGGATAAATACCCAGAAGTGGAGTTGCTGGATCATATGGTAGTTCTATTTTTAATTTTTTGAGGACCCTCCATACTGTTTTCCACAGTGGCTACAGCGGTTTCCATTCCCACCAGCAGTGCACAAGGGTTCCCTTTCAGCACATCCTCGCCAGCACACTTATTTCTTGTCTTTCTGACTGTAGTCACCATTCTGACAGGTGTGAGGTGGTCTCTCATTGTGGTTTTGATTTGCATTTCCTTGATGATGAGTGATGGGGAGCATCTTTTCATGTACCTGTTGGCCATGTGTGTGTTGTCTTTGGAAACATGTCTATTCAGATCCTCTGCCCATCTTTCATTTGGATTGTTGGTTTTTGCTGTTGAGTTGTTTGTTATGCTGTTATATGTTTGGATAGTAACTCCTTGTCAGGTATATCATTTGCAAATATTTTCTCCCATTCATAGGTTGCCTTTTCATTTTGCTGATGGTTTCCTTTGCTGTGCGGAAGCTTTTTGGTTTGATGTAGTCCCATTTGTTTATTTTTGCTTTTGTTGCCTTTGCTTTTGGTGTCGAATCCAAAAAATCATTGCCAAGACCAGTGTCAGGGAACTTACCACCTAGGTTTTATTCTAGGAGTTTTATGGTGTCAGGTCTTTTACCCATTTTGAGTTGATTTTTGTGTATGGCCTAAGGTAGTGGTCCAGGTACATTCCTTGCAGGTGGCTGTCCAGTTTTCCCAACACCATTTGTTGCAAAGACTGTCCTTCCCATGTATATTCTTGCCTCCTCTCTTGTAAATGAATTGACCATATGTGCATGGGTTTGTTTCTGGGCTCTCTCTTCTGTTCCATTGATCTATGTGTCAGTTTTTATGCCAATAGCATACTGTTTTGTTCGCAGTGGCTTTGTAATATAGTTTGAAATCAGGAAGCATGATGCCTCCAACTTTGTTGTTCTTACAGTTGCTTTGGCTATTTGGGGGTCTTCTGTGGTTTCATACAGATTTTAGTAATACTTTATTGTATTTCTACGAAAACACCATTGGAATTTTCATAGAGATTATATCGAATCTATAGATTGCTTTGAGTAGTATGGATATTTTAATAATATTAATACTTCCAGTCTATGAGCTTGAATATCTTTCTGTATATTTGTGTCTCCTTCAGTTTCTCAGAAGGCAGTCTTCATTTCTAAATAAGTGCTTACTTCTTGTCACCTGGACCTCTGTAATAGTCCAGTTACCACTCTCCCTACCAGCCCGCCTTATGCTGTTCTGCTACTGGAGTGACCTTTTAAAATTGCAGCTAGGATTGCGTCACTCTTGTGCTTGCAAACGGAAGTGCTTCTCCACCCCCCCCCCCCCCCCCCGCCCCCTTCGAGATGAAGGACAGACTCTCTATGCCTGCAGGCAGCGCTGATGGGAGCCTACCTTCTGCATCTCCTTTCCTCAGCCTGGGGCTTCGGCAGCACTTAACTGCTTCATGCTTTTCTGAACATGCAGTGCGCTTCACATCTGCCTTTTGATGAGTGCTTTCGTCCACTTCTCCCTTTCCTGACTCAGATGCCTGCAAGACTCTGCTCCGTTCTCACAGTCAACTGAAATTCTCGCTGTTCTCCTCAGGCTCCTTGCCTTTGTTACTGACCCTAGCAGGGCTTATTATAAGGATTTGAAGATAGGAGCTATTTGACTCTTTTAATAAAAATCTTCGAGTAGCCCACAGCCTGCTACATAGTAGACACTCAAAAGTTTAAGTAACGCCTCGTGTCTGGAAGAAGATTGACCCCAAATTTATTTCGTTGTATACATATGTTTAAAATATTTTTTTCGTGATCATGAAAGTATGAAAATATATGAGAGGAATATCCACTGTTGAAAACTTGACTACGGGGACACCTGGGTGGCTCAGATGGTTAAGCGTCTGCCTTCGGCTCAGGTCATGATCCTGGAGTCCTGGGATCGAGTCCCGCATCAGGCTCCCTGTTCCGCAGGGAGCCTGCTTCTCCCTCTGCCTCTGTCTCTCTCTCTGTCTCTCATGAATAAATAAATAAAATCTAAAAAAAAAAGAAAACTTGACTACGTATGGAAAGGTTAGAGGAATATTAATATCCACATGTTTCCCAGCATATTTGGTATATTTCTCCCTAGGCTTTTTTTTTTTTTTTCCTTCTGTGTATACATCTGTAAGAATGTTTTAGGGAATTGAGGTTCAATGTCAAGTAGAGTAGAGAGTTAAGGCTTTCCAAGGAGAGTATGGAAATAATTACTGCCCGGGGTGCCTGGGTGGCTCAGTCAATAAGCGTCTGCCTTCGGCTCAGGTCATGATCCCAGGGTCCTGGGATCGAGCCCCGCATCGGGCTCCCTTCTCCACGGGAAGCCTGCTTCTTCCTCTCCCACTCCCCCTGCTTGTGTTCCCTCTCTCACGATCTCTCTCTCTATCAAAATATAAATAAAAAGTCTTAAAAAAAAATAATAATCAGCGCCCATTTCCAAGATAAGACAATGAGATTTTTTTTTTTTTTAAGATTTTATTTATTTATTTGACAGAGAGAGACACAATGAGAGCAGGATCACAAGCAAGGGGAGAGGGAGAGGGAGAAACAGGCTTCCCGCGGAGCAGGGAGCCTGATGTGGGGCTCGATCCCAGGACCCTGGGACCATGACCTGAGCCGAAGGCAGACGCTTAACGACTGAGCCACCCAGGCACCCCGACAACGAGATCTTTTAAAGGGGCCCTTCACTTTCTGCATTACTTCTAGTGGTCATAAAGCTCTGTTTCACTGAGCAAAGACCCTGCATGCCGCACGCATGTCATCATTAACCCCCGGCCCAGCCCCGTGAGGTAGGCATCGCTTTTTCCGTTCTCCGGGTCAGGCGGTGACCACCCATAGTGTATCTGGGACGCCTGCCCTTAGGAACCCTGGGGCTCCTCAAAGCGCATCAGGAGCAGTGCAGACTAAGGATCCATTAGCTGAATATAAGGTGACAGACTGCCTGAAGAATCCCGACTCTTAGTGTTTTTATCTGTTTCGTAGAAAAGTTGTAATGCTTTACAAAAAGCTTGCAAACCACTGGGCTCGCTTACTTTACAAGTGCAGTTTTGTATAGTGTCCTTATAAAGCTGGCTAACTGAGACGTTACTGTACAGTGCTTTATCTCTTAATTTTAGTATGTGAAAAATTTTAAAGAATATTAATGCTATATCTTTTGTGTGGTGTTCTAGACCAAAAATCATTCCAATTAATTTTGAGTTTAACATTATTAAGTAAATATTTTTCAAGTGCCTGTTATGCATATCAGGCCATCTAGGTGCTGGGGATATGGTGGTCAATAAAACAGACAAAATCCCTGCTCTCATGGTGCTTGCATTCTAGTGGGAAAAGTTAGTTTGACAATAGGAAAATAAACAGGAAATACCAGAGTGGTAAGTGGTTTTAGGAAAAGAAGACAGGCTGATGTGATAGAGAATTGGATGCCGGCTGCCTTCTGTTGGATCTCTGGAGCAAGCCAGAGGGGCTGACAGTGGGGATGGCCCGAGCAGTACAAAGGAGCAGCTGAGCCCCCATGGAGAAATTTGGAGACACTAGAACTTAAATGTGTGTCAAACCTTCGGGCAGGGAGTGTAACTTTCTAAGCCCAGAACTTAATAGTAATCACAAACAAAAAGCTTGTCAGATTTGACAAGATAAAACTTATGGACTTTTTAAGTAAAAAAAAAGTGGCAAACAATTCTGAAAAAATATTTTAGAATATAATATATATACAGAATTATTTATTACAAGATAACATAGATTAATAAGAAAAATAGAAAACTCAGTAGCTAAATGGCAAAGAAGCATGGGTCAGTAATTCCCAGGAGAGACTATATAATTTATAAACATCATTAGAAATCAAAAGAAACACAATAAAATGAGGAATCATTTTTTAATTTAAATTGACTTAAACTTAAGTCTTTGCTTTCATCCCATACTTAGAAGAATACAATGCAAATAGTATTTTTGTAAATTGGGAAATTAGATAATTTCCTTTCGAAAAAACAGTTTGGCATTGTGTCCCAAAATCCGTATAAAATCTCTCTATTTCTTTCTTGTCACCATAATTTCACCTCTGAAAGTGTATTTTGAAACAAAATAAACATTTACACCAAAACATGCTTCATTAGATAGTTGGTAGAGTTCAGATCTGCCTGTGGGCAAGTGTTTGTGTGACTTGGGATGCACACACTCGATGGCATGTTAGGTGTGTGTGGCAAATGGTCACACGAGCTGTGGTCGCATCAGGAAACGCTGCAGTGTAGAGGGAAATGCAAACAGCAGTGTGCAAAATGGTCTCTGCACTCTTTGTACTTGCATCTTTCAGATGTGCATGGAACAAAAAATGACTTGAGAATATACACCAACATGTTAACAGTGGTGTGTGTTAGAGTAGGGGCGTAAAAATTTTAACCAATATGTTTGAAAAAAATTAATTTTTCTTTAAAAGCTTACTTAAAGCCTAAATGACAACAATAAAGAAATTGACTCACTTCATCTTTCTGCAAAAAGAGCTTTGAAGGTACCATCGTGTGGGAGAGCCAAGACCTCCAAGGCCTTGTGTCAAGAAATCTCCACAAAGTGACTGTAAATGATGGCGGGGGTGTTCTCCGAGTCATTACGGTAAGTCATCCTTTCTTCCTAAGGCTGTTCAGCATACTTTAGCATTTTTTCAAACAGAAAAACTGTTTTTTACTTTATGTTTACATCAACCCAGGGAATGTGGAACAATGAATCTGGGGTATTTTAGAGCATGTACAGCAGAAAATGTTGAGTCACCATAGTAAAGACAAACAACTCAGATGTTCAATGATTTTCTCACTCGCGTTAGTAAATACATAGTAGTGCCTTAAGATTGGTGCACTTTAAAAAGTGTGATATTTTATTTCTCAATAATTTTTAAGCTAACATTTGGAAGGACACTTGCTCAGTAGTATTCAGAATCCTCACTCCCTCACCTTTATAGCAGGATGTTCGTTAAAATCGCATAGACGGCAGTACTGGAAAATACGATGGAGCTTTTGCTTTCGTTTATATTGCTGGGATTTCTGCCTCATATTTTTCATTTATTCAGATTTGCTTCAGATTTAAAAACAGTTTAATGGGTAAATATCTCCAAGTAAGTGTAGGACGATAAGGTGTAGACAGACTTCAAGCGGTGAGCTTTAAATACACAAGAGGTGTTTGTGGTGGTGTCACAAACAGTCTCATTCTCCCTGATGCTCTGATGTAATGATTAGGAGAGTGCTTAGTATCTCAGTTCACAGGCTTAGTCTGTTTTCATTAACTATTCGTCTTATTCACGTGAATTAATTCCCGAATTTGAAATGAACCTTAAGTGGTATGCTGTTACCCATTTAGAAAACCACTCCTGGCCCACAGTGCAACTTACACTCCAGTGAGGAAGAAAGACATTAGATCACAGATTCATATATAATTACAAAACTTAGCCTTGTGGGTCGTGGTTAAGATCTCATCCTCTATTACAATAGTCCTTTATTTAACATAGAATGTCTTATGAAATTTAATTATAGTTGTATTCTTTTCTTTCCTTATTTCCAACGCAAGTGCCTTTAATATGTCGCCCCCTTTTCTATTTATGAAACTTAAAAATATCCAAAATGTGCCGGAATTCTGTAGTTATTAAGTTGATTGCACAAAAGCAAATCAGACTCCCTGAGTTGAGGACTAGGTTCAGATGGAAAGACTCAAATGATCCACTTCGGGGGTAAATACAGTTGTAGAGGGCTAAAGAACGCTTACACACTCAGCTAACCTTAAAAAATAGTCGGTATCTTGGTGGCCCCTTGTAGGAAACCCCACGTACAAATAAAGGTTTCCATCATAAATGCGTAAAGCTGAAAGTTTCCCCGAGTCTTCCTCCCTTGCCAGCAAGTGAGAACGTCAGAAACTTTTAAAAGTCAAGCTGTGACCTTTTAGATAAAAAGTACTATCAAGTTCTAAATAAGCCAAAACAATGTAGAGTACACGATGAAAAAACAGAGCGTACAACCTTTCCTGGCTCCTTAAAGCTGGAAACGTTAGCATCACCTTCAGTAGCTTCCTCCACATTGAGCTACAGGTCCCCACGGCCACCTCTGGACAGAGTCTCTCTACGGCCCTGAAACTGCTCCGTGCAGTACAGCTCTGTGAGGGGATGGGCCAGGTGGGCGCGTGCACACACACACACACACACACACACCCGTGCAGTCAGGCCCGGCCCCGCTGGGGCTTCACGCTGGCGTGCAGAGGGGAACCCCCTCACTGGGGAACTTGTAGATCTCTAATTGTAAAAGCTCCTCCCATCGCCGGAGGCCGAGAGGACTATCGCTGGCCGTGGGCACCTTCCAACAGCATCAGCGAGCAGTAGGGCTCTGTCTGAACAATTTGTTTGCGAGGGGCTTTCTCTGGGCGGTAGAGCAAACTTTAAAAATGTGCCTAGATGTATTTGAATTCATGGCAGTTTTCAGCCTCCGAGAAATCAAAGGTGATCATTTTTTTTTTTTTTAAGTGGTAGGGTTGGGATGCAAAATAAAATTGGTTTTGTACTATTATGGTAGCAAGTTCAAGACTATGATTCTGTGTCAGTTGGAATTCTGAGCACTATGGACTGCCATGTGCACCCGATCTTTAATATAGTAACCAAGAGAACAATCAGATAGCAAAAATAGGAGAATACTGATGTCATCCTGATCGTGTGCGTCTTAGATGGGTTTATTGCTGTGGAGTCACATTATAAATTTTGGCACATCAGTTTTAAAATAGAAGAAGTGTATTTTTAGTAATGAAACACTGAGTACTTCTGTTCTTGTTGCTTTCAGGCTGGGGAGGGTGCCTTGCCTCATGAATTCATGGAAGGCGTGGAGGGGGTTGCAGGTGGTTTTATTTACATCATTCAGGGTAAGTCTTGAAAGGTGAAGGGTGCACTGAATTCATGTACCTAATCTTACTCCATACTTTGACAGAAAAAGTGATTTTTTTTTTGTCATTTAAAAAAAGACACATATATCCTTTACTGATACATAATTCACATATACCTTACCCTGGTTCACAGCATAGGAGAGTTCTGCAAGCATCTCCACTAACTCTAGACCATTTCCGTCACTCCCAGAAGAAACCCTATGTCCATTAGTGGACACTCCTCATTCTCCCCTCCCCCAGCCCCTACCAACCATTAACCTCCTCACTGTCCTTTCTGACCGTAAATGTAAGGATTTACTTCTGGGCTCTCACTTGTGTTCTTTTGATCTGTGTGTCAGTCCTTCTACCGTAGTTCTACACTGTCTTGAATATGTGGCTTTCTAGTAGGATTTGACATTGGGAAGTGTGAATCCTCCAACTTTGTTCTCTTTCAAGATTGTTTTGGCTCTTCTGGGTCCTGCATTTCCATACGAATTTTAGGATCAGCTTGTCAGTGTCTGCAAGCAAGCCAGCTGGGATTTTGAAAGGGGTGTCCGTGAACATGTAGAGCATTTCAGGCAGTGCTGCCATTCTGACAGTAAGTCTCTGATCCATGAACATGGATCTCCTTCCATTTACTAATGTCTTACTAGTTCCTTTTAGTGATGTTTTGTGGTTTTCAGAGTACAAGTCTTACATTTCTTCTAAGTTTATTCTTAAATATTTATTCTTTTTGATACCATTATAAGTGGAATTGGTTTTTACATTTCATTTCTAGATTGCTCATTGCGAATGTATAGAAATACAATTGATTTTTATATATCAATCTTGTATGCTGCAATTTTGCTGAATTCATTTATTAAGTTACTAGTTGTGTGGGTGCCTTAGGATTTTCCATATACAAGATCATGTCATCTACAAGTGGGGATAGTTGTACTTTTTTTTTCCCCCCAATCTGGATGCCTTTTATTGCTCTTTCTTGTCTGTCATGGCTAGACTGTCTAGTACAGTGTTGAGTAGAAGTGGTAGAGCAGATATCCTTGTCTTGTTCTCGCTCTTAGAGGGAAAGCATCCAGTCTTTCACCATAATGGGTGATCTTGAAAAATCCATGACCTTGAACTTTGTTGGCCCCGTGTGGCTATGTTTGGTTTATGCTGCAGCCAGGTGGGGACTTCTGCAGAACTGCTAGACCGTGGCCATATAGCTGTAGTGGACTTCGTGCTGTTGGTCAGTCAGAAGGGAAGAACCTTTTCTTCCCTGACCCAGCAAGCGAGGTGCATTTTGATGCCTGCATCTGTCCCTCTGTTGGAGGTGGCCCAGTGGACTCTGCTTCCCCTCCTGCTTCATGTGGACGCTTTCTCCTCATGATGTGAATATGTAAACATAGACTCCATCTTTCAGAGAACAGTTTCTTAAATGCTTCTCCTAATATATCACATTTCAAGGATGGATTTGTTAGATTCCTTTAAAACTTGGGGTCAGGAGCATTAGCTTAGAACTGTAGAGGGAATTTTGTTGTGATGGGAGTGGCTGTGTTTGTCTTCTTGAATCATGCTTATTTAAATATCTATCTATGAATTCCTGAGAATTCTTTAAGAAAGAAGAACTACCCTTGATGCAGTTGCTCTTGGCCACCTGTCCTGCACATTTCCTGGGGAACAAAGGTGCCCAGTGGAATTTCCGTCTTGACATCTCAGAGCTCTGCAGAGGATGGATTCCTATAAAAGAATTAGGACCCAGCTTCCCTGAAGGCTGTCAGTGACTGGGGAAAGCAGAGCAGACCCTGAGAGGAGACTCTTTCGGGACCCCCTCGACAGCATGGTGTTGAGGATGGGGCACACCCCCTGTTTGAGGCACTGCATGTTGTTTGAGGATGCAAATGGACTGTGGCTTTTTTTTTTTTTAAGGTTTTATTTATTTATTTGACAGAGAGAGAGCACAAGCAGGAAGAGCAGCAGAGGGAGAGGGAGAAGCAGGCCCCCTTCCGAGCAGGGAGCCCGATGTGGGACTCAATCCCAGCACACTGGGATCATGACCTGAGCCGAAAGCAGATACTTAGCATACTGAGCCACCCGGGTGCCCCAAGACTGTGGCTTTTTTTATTTTTCATTTTTTCGAAAGCATTTTTATAGTGTTTCCTCCTAGAAGTAGTTGTATTCTTACATCACCCGAAAGGGTAGCCTGGAACAGATACATGGGTTTTGCCCATAAACTTGCCATTAAAAATAGAAATTTAAAATTTAGAGATCGTTAATTTCAGTCCAGAGATTTTTCATAAAACTATGAGACCACTCTGCCAAGGAAGGTATCCGCTTAGCTCACCAAGAAGCTAGCTAATAGCCCAGCCCTGGGGAAAACTCAGATCAGAAGCTCAGGCAGCTTCCTAAGGCAGTGCAGACATGGGGCCAGGGGCAGGTGTAACGCACCATCTGACTGGAATATCCAGCACCTTCCCTTCTTTTACTGGTTCATTCTCGAATGTACCACCAGGAGCCTTTAAAAACTAGTTTAAGGGGCCCTTGAGACTCTGTCACTAAACTGTTCTACAAGGAGCAGCTCCTGTACCCTGGACAAAAGCTTGTCACAATTTTTCTGGCATGGAGGCTAAAGGAATAAGGTTTGGGTGAGGGACAAATTCTTTCAAATAAGACTGAAATAACTCAAGTTGTAGGCTAAAGAAATGAAAATGAATAGATTGTCTTCTGCAAATCTCAGTATAAACTAATTTTTTAAAATCAGGATCTAAGTGCTATGAATTGGTTGTACATGAATTCTTAAATTTTGTCGGATATTAGCATCTCTGTCTGGGCCCTACCTCAAGCTACAAAGTTAAAATCTTCAGAAGTGGAGCTCAGATGTCTGTATCTTAACAGGCTCGCTAAACAGACATGATCTTCCAAACTTTGAGAGGCTGTAAACTCTGTGATTCTTTTAAGTAGCAACTAGACAGATCATCAGATTTAAAACACACACAGATCTATTACTTTATATTCCTGGTTTTCAGATATATACAGTATAAAACAAAAGGTGTCATTTGGGGGCGCCTGGGTGGCTCAGTTGGTTAAGCGACTGCCTTCGGCTCAGGTCGTGATCCTGGAGTCCCGGGATCGAGTCCCGCATCGGGCTCCCTGCTCGGCAGGGAGTCTGCTTCTCCCTCTGACCCTCCCCCTCTCATGTGCTCTCTCTCTCATTCTCTCTCTCAAATAAATAAATAAAATCTTTAAAAAAAAAAAAAGGTGTCATTTGTTCATCTGAAAGACCTATATTTAATTTCTACTCTCATCTTATTACAACCATCCTCCTGTTACTCCAGTTTTCAAAAGCTGTCACTTTCCTTCAAGTTGTTAAATTGTATATACTTTATCTTTGAAGTAAAGGGATATTACAGTAGAATGTAAGAGCTGGTGGGGACACAAGGTCATTCAGGCTTGTGTTTCTCCAAGGGTAGGCATCTGTGGTCCACGTGCTTCAGAGTTCTGGGAACACACATGTTAAAAACAGAGTCTTGGGCCCACCTGAGACGTGCTGAGTGGTTAGGTTTGGGCTGCAGGAATGTATATGTCAAAACGCAGTCCACTGGTGTCGTCGTCCTCCCCCTCCTCCTCCCTCCTTCCCCTCCTCCCCCCGCCTCCCCCGATGAGAATACAGGCCCAGAAACCTGCAGCTTGCCCAGCATGTCCCAGAGCAGCAGAAGCAGAAATCAGATCTAGGCCTCCTGACGCGCAGGCCCCAGGCTTTCCCTTTGACGTTGCAGAAGATGGGGTGCTAAACTGCTCTGTTGTTTCCTCACCCTTCAGCCACTCACTTTATTTTTTAGACGTTTTCTCTAATTTGAGTGAGACATTTGAGAAAATCCTGCCCTAGTGAAAAAGTGGCTGCCTTAAATCCATAGGATTTGAGGACAGTCCCTGCGCAAATGTGACAAGTGATTCATTAACGTGTGAGGTAGTAAACTGATGACTTTAAGCACATTTTTATTATGAAATATCACAGATATACCAAAAATAGCTCTGTAAGAAACAGCCGTGCCCTTATTATTCAGAATTAACAAATGCTTACATTTTGTCATATTTGCTCCCTTTTTTAAAGAAAAAACCATTACAGACACAGTGAAGCCCCATCCCAGCTAGCTGTCTGGCCCTGTCCCTCCCTCCCCTCAGAGAGGGTGCCCTGTCCTGAAATTCGTGTGCACCCTTCCCTTTCTTATTTTCCTACTTTCTACTACATATGTACCTTATCTTTCCCTAACATGCAGTTTTGAGGAGAGTATTTTATCACTGAGGTCCACGGCATCATATTGAATCTATCAAGTAGAAACAAAGGTCCTTCCCCACCCTCCTCCCAGCATCATTTTTCAGTGCCATTCCTCTGAGCATGCAAGATCAGGTTAATTCTTCTGCCTGCTCTTTTCCATTACATGACTGTCCCAAAGGCTGGCTACTCTCCCGTCGGGGGGGCGCATTTAGGCTGGTTCTGTTTCTCCCATTACAAACAGTGCTGCCAGGATCGGCCTTGTGAGCATGTGAGATGCAGACCTGTGGCCTCCCACGGCCTGCGCAGCTGCCGCTGGACCGCTGTGCACAGGAAGCAGCTGTGGACCCTGCAGATCCCTGCGGGGTGCGGGAGGGCCTGCTGCCCAGCTCGGCTGTCTCCCAGCTGCTCTCCGTTAGGTCACTCGGGGAAAGGGTGCGAGCCAACAGAACGTTCCACGTGCTGGGTCTTCCATTTGCGACAGCATCTTTCTCCATCTCTCAACTTTTCCTTTGTAGAAGGTGATGCACTCTTACAAAACCTTCATTCTCGCCCTCGAAGACTTCTTGACCACAGAAGTAATCTCCACAGGGAAGACGCCTTACTGAGGGAGGAGAGCAGCGTCTATGATGACATTGTTTTTGTGGATGTCGTTGACACTTACCGAAATGTTCCTGCGAAATTACTGAACTTCTACAGATGGTAGGTGGTAAACATGTGGGGTAGGTAGAATTTGTCTTACTGTTCTTTGGATGTAGGAACAATTTATTGACAGTAGACCCCTGCATTTTTTTTTTTTAAATAAACCAACCCCAGAACTCCTGAACAACTAGGATGTGTGATCTATTATATCCTGGTTCTTTGTGAGGACTGAAATCATGCTGCTTTCTCATTCAGATGAGCAGATCCGTGATGTGAATGATTTTTATCAAAAGTAGGGCAAAAGTTGATTTTGGGTCGTTCTATTCTGTCTGAGTCAAAGTCAGTCCTGTGAGTCATTGTCTTGGTTGCCTCAGGCCAACACCAGATGAAAATCAGTGAGTTTGAAAATGGCCCATTTTCAGTTGTGACCATACCCACTGACCTACATGACCTGTGTATAGTTTCCCTTGAACCCAGGTTACTGATCTGAATTCTGTTCAGCCGAACATCCACATTCTGTTTCCATCCTCTTCTTCACGCATTTAAGAACCACTTGCCCTAATTCCAAAACTTTTCTGTAAGACGAAATCCAACAGCCTCCCATAACTTGCCCACCCCTACAGGATTTCTTCGACCTGGGTTGTGACTCCTGCCTTCGGACCATTAACGGCAGCAACAATCCTAACTACTCTTGTTTATATGTACAGTTAACATGATTAGTTACTCCAGGGTCTGCTTACTTGCTCTTGAGCCCTGTGACACTGTCCACCCTCGAACTAACCCAAACTCTCTCTGTCTAGCCTAAACCTAGAGTATTTCCACATCTGTGTCTTTTTTTTTTTTTTTTAAAGATTTTACCTATTTATTTGACAGAGAGAGACACAGCGAGAGAGGGAACCCAAGCAAGGGGAGTGGGAGAGGGAGAAGCAGGCTCCCCGCAGAGCAGGGAGCCCGATGTGGGACTCGATCCCAGGACCCTGGGATCATGACCCAAGCTGAAGGCAGCCGCTCAACCAACTGAGCCACCCAGGCGCCCCACATCTGTGTCTTTTAAAACTGGATCAGGGAGCTTGTTTCTTGGTGAGCCCCTAAGTCTGCCCCTCTCTCTTCTCTGTTGCCCTGGGCAGAGTGGATGGATATAGTCCTGATTCGTTTATGGAAGGTCATGTTTCACGGCTAGGGCAAGTTAATACAATTTTGGAGTCACCCTGTGGCTAGAGGGCAGATAGAAATAAGAGTTGGAAATTGAGGTGTGTCTAGAATACCAGGGTTATATCTGGACAACTGTACTGAGAAAAAGAACCTTCTTTAGCTCAAGGCCCTTGAGAGGGGTCCCTGTTGTATGGGGGCCCAGGCAAGAATGGAAAGAGTTCAGTGAAGGGTGGGAATGGAGGTCCAGAAAGTGGGAAATCGGATTGTGGTGTTCTAGGACTTTCTCTAGGGAGCTGATTCCTGGTTGTGGAAGTTCAGTGTAGTTTATCTGTTACCTGCAGTTTAAGTCTTCTCTCCTGTACTCCTTGCACATCTCTGAGCTCTCAGTCGTCGCTGCCATGGTCTGTCTCAGGCCACCCTCTCCACCTGATCACCGGGGACAGGCTAACGGCCCTGGGCTCGAGGACCCGCTCCCCCCTCTCCTGTGCCACCTGTCCGCCGTCCATGCTGTAATGAAAGCTGCCTTAGTCATTCTTTCTTCAGGTGATTCCTCAGTGACCGCAGTGTCCTTTATCACAGAGCCCCTCCTAATTAGCAAATATTATGTGCTCCTGTGCTGTTAATTAGAAATGAACTTTAGAAGCACAGGGTTTTGAGCTTTGGTGTGGACCTGTTGTCAAATTCACCATTCTTTGACCGAAAAATGCTTTCTCCAGATTTCTTTTATTCAGATTTCTGTCATTTGGTTCCCTAGCAAGACTCTGGGTTTTGTTTTGTTTTTTAATCAAAGGTGGACAGGGATTGGCAGTGTGAAATGAAGAAGTCCGTTTTGTCTCCACTCACCCTTGTATGTCTGGGTAAACGAAGTCACCCTCCTGGGCCTTCCAAAAGGTCATTTATAAGAGTTTAATTGCTGGGAATCGTTTCTGAGGGGAAATACGTGTCCGTGTTACAGCTTAGTGTTTTAAAAACCATCAAATACCTGAGTGGAGTATAACTCGCGGCACCGAATAGAGCATCTTGCACAGCAGGGTTCCAGGGGAGAGCCGGGGCAATGCTTGTCCCCTGCCTGTCCCCTCACTGTGGGCCCCGTTAAGAATCCCAGTGACAAGGTTCGCATGTTTGGCAGCCTGACGGGAACAATGTCACAGAAGCGTTTGTTTGCTCATAGGTCCCACTTCAGCCAGATCTTTTTTTTACTGTGTTCTTTTTCTTTGGCACCTTTAAAATCCGCTTGGTGCTTCTCTGTGTTATGCCACTTAATGAACATCAAGTGAGGATTGCATTCGGTAGCAGCGGTGTTCTGAGCACATGTTCTCAACCTCGAAGGACGAAGAAACTGAACAAGTGTGCAGGTCATCCAGGGCCGGCTCTTCAGGAAGATGGTAGCGATGTCACCGCTTCCTTTCCTATGGACGCAATGACCCTCGTATTCCCTTTTGCCAACAGGACTGTGGAAACAACCAGCTTTGACTTATTGCTAAAGACAGATGACGACTGTTACATAGACTTGGAAGCTGTGTTTAATAGGATTGCCCACAAGAATCTGGATGGGCCTAATTTTTGGTGGGGAAAGTAAGTTAAACCTTGTTAGCCCTTTGGCTTCATGTACCTGATCAAAAGGAATTCATTTAGCATGAAACACACAAGCAAAATGTGGCCCAGATAGGGAGCCTCCCTCCCCCGCCCCCCAGGTCCTGGTTACTGGATGTTATCAATCTACAGTTAGAGGGAAAACCTGTAAAATGAAAAACTTCAGGCTAAGGTAATGAAGGAGGGGAAGACGATGTGGCTTTTATCGTCATGGCCTAGAAATAAGCACTAACGTGAGGAGCTGCCGTACGTGGTATCTTGTTAGAAGAAAGTTGTGACACATTTCTGAAATTGTGCTGTGTTTCTTCAGGAATCCAATATGGATTCATGATCTTCTTTAGCATATGTACACATGATGATGCTCTGGTACTTTCAGAAACTCCACAAATGTAACTTAGAGAATTTGATGCCCCAGTCTTTCACGTAACACACCTGCTAGATAAAGAACGCCGTTCCTTAGACCAAAAAAAAAAAATGTTCCTCTTTCCTTGCTTTTACAGCTTGGTCCTTTGTAGTGATCGTAAAGGGGTCCGGCTTAATAGTGGTAGGACAGCCGTCGCGCCGACACGAAGAAGCCAACTGTTTTTGACTCTCAGTTTCAGACTGAATTGGGCCGTGGACCGGACCGGCAAGTGGCAGGAGCTGGAGTACCCCAGCCCCGCCTACCCAGCCTTTGCCTGCGGCTCGGGGTACGTCATCTCCAGGGACATCGTCCACTGGCTCGCCGGCAACGCGGGCAGACTCAAGACCTACCAGGTAGTTCCGGATTTCTGACCTGACGGTGTACTCTTCACACCAAGTCTCATCCAGCCCGGGATTCCATCTCTGAGCACAGAGCCAGCGTCCCTGGGGGAAGGCATGCTGTTCCTTCTGTGGAGGAGTCACCCTCAGAGGTCAGGGACACAGTCCTAGCCTCCAGATCCTGGCTCTAAATTCTATTCCTAAATCTTTCTTTGAGCCTACTTACTAGGTTTTCAGACTCCATTTACAAGTGTAGTCCCTGGAGGAATGGAAAGCTTGGCATTCACAAGAAGGAAGACTGTAAAGCAGGGGCTTTCTTTTTTGTTGATTCTGGTGACTGTGTCACGAAACAGCCCGCCTAGCAGTTGGATCCACTGTATCGTTTATACAGCCGGTGCTGGAGGTGTGAGGCCCCCGAGAAGGGCTGTCTTGTGTCTAGTCATTTCATCATGGTGGGTGTTAATGGCCACTAGCTGTTACTCCGTGTACAAGTGTTAATACGGGCTGGGCGTTTCCTGGTAGAATAATTACAAAGCCAAGAAGTGGAAAGATGACTTATTACGGGAATGTGGGGCATCGTGTTTAGAGATGATACAGCATTTAAACTTCTGCATTTAAATTTCACGGGGCGCATACAGGGTGAAGACGTAAGCATGGGCATCTGGATGGCAGCCATAGGACCTAGTCGATACCAGGTAAGTGAGCCAACTGTGAGGAAATGAGGTTTCTGGGTCAGACGTTGGGCAGAAACAGTGACTTGAAGGTCTGGCATCAGAGCTGTGCTCTTAATGCTCTTGGTTTAATTCCCAGTAATCCACCCAGGTTCTCATATTTTTCTGAGTTTAAACCAAAAAAAAAATGTTTGGATGGAAGTTTCCTACCCACAGAGAAGAATTAGGTTTTTACATGTTTGATTAGAAATTCTTTGTAGCTTTAAAATGTAAGGAATCAGGGGTGCCTGGCTGGCTCAGTCAGTAGAGCATGCAACTCTCGATCTGGAGGTCATGAGTTTGAGCCCCATGCTGGGCATAGTGATTACTTAAAAAAAAAAAACAAACCTTAAGGAATCAGCTGGCTGAAGTTTCCAGCAGCGTGATGGTCCAAGGACCCTTCAGCCCTTCTGACTGATGAAAATAAAACACTGGGTTTAAAATACCGGAAGGTGTTTTTGAAAATACACTGACCGCTGAGCCAAGGAAAGAAAGAAATGAATCTGCAGAGACCAGAAATGGAAGAGAGGAGGCACGAAGCTGAACTTCGCCTCAAAGCTTTCTGTTGAGTTTTGGATTCTTGCAGCTTCCACTTTGGCCACAGAAGGTGCAGGGGGCAGAGGAACACGCAGGGCCCCCTCACTTCAGGGGTGAACGGGAGTAAACCCACATCTACTGGGTCAGCTGTGACAGTCTGTGTCCTATTGAAGTGCCAGCTTTGACTTGTTGAACACTGAAGATAATTTTGTGTGTCTGATTGTGGCGATAGCTGTGTCGTTTGTGGGTCTGTGTAGGCTGATGCGTCCACAGACTGTTGCTCTTGGAGCTTGTTTCCTGATGTGTTCAGAGACTTGTGTGTATAACCTCATGTTCCTTGGAAATGGAGGCATTTAAAATGCATTCTTTTTTTTTTTTAAAGATTTTTATTTATTTATTTGACAGAGAGAGACACAGCGAGAGAGGGAACACAAGCAGGGGGAGTGGGAGAGGGAGAAGCAGGCCTCCCGCGGAGCAGGGAGCCTGATGTGGGGCTCGATCCCAGGACCCCGGGATCATGACCCGAGCCGAAGGCAGTCGCTTAACCAACTGAGCCACACAGGCGCCCCTAAAATGCATTCTTGCGAAGAGGATTTATGTTGTGTGTGCCTTGCACCGAAGGGCATTCCCATCTCTGACTGCATTGTTGGAGAACGTGACTCCTGCCATATACCCAGCTAAGTGCAGGCTGGGCTTCCAGATGCTCAGGGCAGACCCCTTTCCATCGCACCCAGGGTCAAGGCTGAGTCGCAGGTTCTGTTTTCTGAATTACACAAACACACACACACACACACACACACACACTCACTCCTCCTCCCTCTCCCCCAGGTCTGTCTGGCACCTCAGGGGCCCTGGCTCTGAGTCTCCCTGTCGCTGGACGTGGCCTTTTCAAACCCCGCGGAGCCTTCAGGGCACGTGCTGAGCCCGGCCCCTTTGCCCCAGGGTCTTCTCCTTTGCCACCGGCTCAGCCACGCTTTAACAAGGCGCGTTTGACAGTACGCAGCATCGGTGTGTTCTCAGACCGAGCGGGCTTCTCTGGCTCTGTGTTCTGTCTCCGAAGGAGGCTGGTGCTCGGGACTCAGGCTGAGTCCGTTTTGGTCCCTCGGGTTCACCTCACCCACATCGGCTTCCCTTTGCCAACCTCACTGCAACCCTGGGCAGGGCCCTTCACTCTCAGCTTGTCGTCTGGGAAAGGGAAAGGGGTCCTCCCTCGCCGGGTTTCTGGAGAATTAGCTAATACTTGGTGCGGCCCCCAGAATGTCAGACGCCTCGGCGGGGACAGCCGCAGGGAGCTCCGTGTGTGCTGCCCGGGCTTCCTGGTCACAGAAGTCCCTCTGCCGCCTGCCGCGCACCCCCCCGGAACCCACGGGCTCGGCCCCACGGCTCCCGAGTCACTTGTGTGTGGTTTGTCGCCAGGACGGCCTGTGGCTGTGTGAGAAGACGTGTGAGCCGGGCATGCTGTCCTCCCCGCAGTACTCGCCGCAGGAGCTGACGCAGCTGTGGCAGCTGAAGGAGCGGTGCGGGGATCCTTGCCGGTGCGAGGCAGCCGCGGGAGGGTTTTAACCGGCCGCGCTGCGGGAGCGGCCGCTGAGCGGAGTCCCCCGAGAGCCCGCGGTGGGGCAGCAGACGCCTGGCGGCCCGGGATAGTGCTCGGTTGGCACTTTTTACCTGTAACCAACGTGATCTTTCTAAATGTTTGCACAGAATGTCCTTTTTAAAACTCAGCTGATCCTGTACATAACAAAAATTTTATTTCTATATTGCAAGACTTTGAAAAACACCAAACTGTTTTATAAACATTTCTAAAACCTGATGTATCATTTCTAGTTTATAATTCATTACCTATCACTTTTGGTTAAAATTGGCCTCGTTCAGAAATCTTAGCAGCCAAGAATGTGAATTCCAGCCTGGATTACGGAATGGCCCTGTAAGGCATAATTAGGAAAATTAAGGGCCAAAAACAACTCACAGAATGCTGTGTGGTCACTTATACCAAAGTTTGGGAATGGAAATGTCTGAATGAAGTGGGCAACTGGAAAAGGAACCCTTATATATAATTCTCAGTTCTGGACCTTGGTTTTAAAGTTCACTTATTTATTAAGTGAGCTAATTCCAGTTTTCTTTTGCCATTTAACATAGATCCTGAAGGTCACAGTCTAGTACTATTAAAAAAAAGCTAAAATTCTGTGGCTGTAAATCGAATACCTCTCAGGGTTTTAGTGACGTAGGGAAAGGATACAGCTAAATAGTGGGCACTTAGAATGAATTTTTTCTTTCCTCCTGTCTTTGTGTAATGTTTACCTAACCTAACTGAATTCTGATCAGAGATGGAAATCTTCTGTAGAAGAATATATGCCCAGCTTAGGTACAACTGTAGGGAAAAGCATATAATGTATTTTTGTAAGTACTCTAAAAACAGTGTGACGGAGGGAAGAGATCATAGCATACGTTACACATAGAAGAGGCGGCTCCCTAAGTTTAAGGGACATTTCCCAAAATGACTATCCAAATCAAACCTTTTAAAACTAGTAGTATCCATAGAGTTCCACTAAAACTGGTCCTATGACCGACATTATGTTCAGATCTCATTAGACTAGCTAGGTTCTATTTAATATTTAAATCTCCACATACTGAAATGTATAGTCATGAACTATAAATATGAAATAAAATCAGAAAATCATTAGTAGGTGCAAAGCCTTTATTACTATTGTTATATACAAGCCTAGAAATGGTCTCTTCCCAATGAAAAATACCACCTTTTCTATACTTAGGGCAAGGTGTAAAACCTCTCTCTTTTTCTAACAGAACTGTTCCAATAAATCCTTTATTTCCGGTACCCCCCCTGCCCCGAGTCAGGATAAACAGTGCAGTCCCCGAACTTTCTTAGTTCACTGTTACCATCGCACCAATAGACAATCTCCACTTTCCACAGAATAAAACTGTAATGACTGCTGGTCATTTTCTAGTTCAATCTCTCTGCCAGGCATCTACAAATAGAACAGAGGGTTGGGGTGATAAAGACAGATCCGTCTTAATACATGTGCCCCCTCCCAAACAGAGGCGTATGTTTCCCATTTAGAAGCAACCCGTATCACACTTGGGGGACATAAGCCAACTCTGTGTTCTGCTGGGCTACTTACTTTGGGGCTTTCATAGGACAGCAGAAGTTCCGACACAGGAACTTTGAGGAGACGGGCCAGCAGTCCCTTCACCTTCTGAATTGTCATGGAGTCTGTCAAGGAAAGAAACACCCTCAGTTCTCTCGAATGACAGCTACGTGTAGAACTGGCTCACCTGCCGAGACCCCAGTCGCAACGATTCACGGTACCCGGTTCCCCGCGGCCATCAGTAGGGAGAGGCTCGCCCACCGCGTGGACCCGAGAGCCGGTTCCACACCGCTGACCTGACCTGCGGGAAGCTGTGGGGAACCGAGCAAGTGTCTGACCGAAGTGCCCTTTGACAGTGGCTTTTCATACCATTTCAGTGGTGGTGAATATTTCCTCCTGCATCTGAATAAACCAGAAATCATCTTCTCTGCAGAGAGGAGTAAATGTGAGTTAAAATCCTTCACTTTCTAAACCTCTGTGATTACTCGCTCATGGATGGCTGACAGAACACTGGAGTGGGGGCTCAGGCGTCCAGAGGGCGCCTCTCCATCACTCTGCCTTGGTTTCCCCCTCTGTAGAGCGACGGAGGGACCGGCGGTCCGCAGGCTCCCTGCGAGCGCACGCAGGGGACCTGCTTCACGAGCAAACGCTTTGGTTTGTTCAGAAAACACTATGAACTTCTTTCCAAAGATGGGTGGTGGTAAATACTGGATATTTTGATGAGAAACAGAGTTTCTCTGAAGCTTTAGCTGGAGGTACAGCAATAGTATGGTGTTCCTACAAATACCACATGTATTCAAATATTTTTCTATCAGAAATGATTTTTGTAAAGCTGTCTGTGTTTTTATGCAACTTGTGCTAATAAATGTTATCTTTATTTTAGAATAAAAACTGGCCTTGTTTATGTGTTGAATATAAACAATTGACATCATTCACATAACTTGTTTTTTTACGTGTGAGTGTGTGTAGATAATCTTGGCCTTTTATAAAGATTTCGGTGCACCGGCTTCCACTGTTCTGAGGGTGGTTAGTGATGGGTTAACTCCTACCTAGCAACGGAAAGGACACATTCCTAAGTCGTGTCAGAAACAAAACGCTTGGTCCTACAGTCCTGATGAGAAATCTGCCCACTCGCACTGTGTCTACAGGAAAGGTGGCAATTTGCACGTAATGCTCTAAATAACGTTACCATTTCTAATGTAAACGTCTAACACACGATTGTCTTAACATTCAGACAATGTAGAGACGGTTGTGCCTCCCTAGGACGAGTGTGAAAGTTTAACGGGGGTGTACACTTCCAGGCTTTTCTCCGGCTCTGTCAGGACGGGTGGGTTTCATAATGTACTGACCACACGTGCTCCTTTCTCGTCCAGTCATCCATCCGTGCGGCCAGCCGGCACTCAGGACGACTCAGGACTGAATTTTTTTATTTCAGTTTAATGAATTTCAATTTAAATTGCCATCTGCAGTAGCCATACTGGCCAGTGGGGCCCCAGACTCCCGTGTTCTCGCTCATGCTACCTGATGCTGCAGGAGTTCAGTCGGCCCTTTCCTTCCCCGCTGGTAAACATTTAAGTGGTGGTGACATTTGCCATTACAAGTGCTACAAAGTAGAAATTTTAAAAATGTGAAATTACTGCACTGACCAGCAAAGAAAAGTATTTTACGAGAGTCCCTTAGGGTGATACACATTTCATCTCTTCCTCAGCGCCTCACCGCTCCACACTCAAGCTGTCCATACCACTCTCTAACCGAGAATCAGGCTTTATCCGGTAATTCACAGTATACTTGAAAGAGGGACTGTAATTGTAAGTTTACGGTACATTAGATCAATCCAGTTGGTTGACACAAAAGTTTTGTTTTTTTTTTTTTAAGATTTTATTTATTTGACAGAGAGAGACACAGTGAGAGAGGGAACACAAGCAGGGGGAGTGGGAGAGGGAGAAGCAGGCTCCCCGCGGAGCAAGGAGCCCGATGTGGGGCTCGATCCCAGGACCCCGGGACCATGACCTGAGCCAAAGGCAGACGCTTAACGACTGAGCCACCCAGGCGCCCCAACACAAAAGTATTTTTGAAATGAAACTAATTCAGTTCCAGTAACACTGATGTTTAGACAGAGTTCTGAAGTTGTTTTTCCAAAGAAAACCATTTCAGTGTGTCCATTAAAAGACCACATCCGAGACCTTTCTGCGGGGACTCCTGACTGGTAAGGAGTAGAGTGTATGACAAGTCACAGATGTCCAAATAATTCACAGTTCAGTTCAGCTCACCAGGACACGTTTCCTGTAGCCCAGTGACACAGTCTCTCTGGACCAGAGCCATAATTTGGGAACTAAACAGCGGTGGACTCAGGAAAGGCCACGCCGCTCCAGCGCTCACGCCTTCGGCTCAAGATGTCATCGTACGCAAGGGCTTCCGGTTTAACAAGACTTTCCTAGGGGCGCCTGGGTGGCTCAGTCGGCTAAGCGGCTGCCTTCGGCTCAGGTCATGATCCCAGGATCCTGGGATCGAGCCCCGCATCGGGCTCCCCACTCGGCGGGAAGCCTGCTTTCCCTCTCCCTCTGCCTGCCACTCTGCGTACCTGTGCTGTCTATCTCTCTGTCAAATAAATAAATAAAATCTTTAAAAAAAAAAAACAAAAAACAAGACTTTCCTAGATAAGCTGACCTGAGTACGGAAGACTTGAGCTTTTGGAGGGAGTGTCGATGGATTGTGTTTTAGATCATGAAAGATTAGCAGAAACCTATAAGTTCCAGAAGTGCACACTTCTAGATATTTTCCTTCCAGCCAAGTCGTGCCTAGACCAGTGTTTCCTAAGTGTAAGGATGCGAAAGGCCTCTTTTTCTTACCTGGCAGTTGTTTCTCTAGGACTCTCTGATCAACTTGATTAGGGTATTTTATCTTCAGTGCTTGAAAGGAAAAAAGGAAAAAGACTGAGAGCTACTGTAATAAGGATTTAAATCACACACGTTACCCACAGCTGCCCCATGACCCGCTGTCAGTACCGCGGGGCTTGGATCCTAACAAAGGAACAGGTCTTACTGATGTTGCAAATTCCTTCTATTAATCCTTCAGAGAATTAACAGCAACAGAAAACGCTGGACCAGCATTCTAGTGCCTCCCCTCCTCCCCTCCGCCTCCTCTCCTGACAAGGCAGCTGGGTGTCCCCGTGTAAGAAAAGCCACATGTTTACAAATCACAAGTCGGTGCACTTCTCACACGCTCCCCCCATTTATAACACAATCAAATGTGCTGAAAGCCTGGGAATTGCTAAAATGTTCGAGATGAGAATTCAAATGTTTGAGAATTCATCATTTCTTTCAAAACTGGAGTACTCTAGGTACTTACTTAGGAGAAACCAACAATCCCTACGAGCTCCTCACTATCTCGCACCTAAGGACGCGAATACAAATAAGCTGTCTTTGAGTGTGGGGTTCTTACTCAGTAGCCGGTTTTTGAGCAGAAATGGTTGTTGTGTTTGGAGTTCCCCGTCTTCAGGCGCACCATATTCTGCGGAAGCAGCATAAACAGGGATGATGATAAACCCACGGCCACCAGAAGGAAAAATACACACACTGAATGGATCGGCCGAGCCTCTGCCTTCCCAGAACACGCCAAGCAGCATCTGCCCTGCTAACCTGGGATCTGTTCCCTTTTATTCGGCTACTTGTTTACTTGTTTATTTTTAGGAGGGATGGTCAGCAACTGCTTCCACGCACGGACCCCTCCATCCGCGGCCTCTCACGCTGCTTCTCCTCAAAGACAGACTCCGTCCTGCTGCCCGACCAGCAAGACCAGCCTGTGCCTTCAGATACCTAAGACACTGATGCAGAGCTTGGCGTTTGCCAACAGTTCCCTCGCTTTTGGGGTCCTGACGGGTAACTCTGGTACCAGCTGGGACGTAACTCACAGGACACCTTCAGGTGTCAGCCAGATGGTGCCACGCCAGGCTGGGCGCCCGGCCCCAGCCCCGCGCCTGGAAAAGCAGCCTCAAGAGAAGGGCGCAGGGAGCGCAGGCCTCTCGGCTCTGACTCTCCGCTGGGCCGGCCAGTGCCTGCATTTCTAGAAATAGCCCGTTCTGAGCGGGGAGGACACCCTGAGCCCTGTCTGCGGGGCTGCTCCAGAGCCTTCCCTTTCCCCTTCCCCTCCCCCAGGTGATTCAGATTCACCTAAAGTGGCCGGGAAATTGGGCCAGTTAATGGGAGTGATCTGAAAGCAATTCCCCCAGGCAGCTCTTCTTCCTCAAAGATAATGTTCCAGCCTGAAGCCTTTGTGCGGTGAGCAGCTTACATTAGGAAATTAAAACAAAACAAAACAAAACACATAAAAGTGAAATGTGGAGTAATAATGAAGTCAAAACAAAATGGGGAGTATGTCAGGGACAGAGAATCATGAAGTGGTGGCTTCAGGGCCTGAGGGTCCAGGTTGGGGAAGGTAAGGAAGCACCGAGCAGAGCCCGAGCTGCGGGGAGCGGGGGGGGGCAGGGATGGGGGTGGATTGGGGGCGCCCTCAGCAGCACGGAGGAGAAAGGACGCGCTCGTCAGCACAGCGGAACTACCTGGGGAGCTTCAGAAACACCAGGGCCTGCCTTCTACCTTAACACGCGCACGTTTAAAATCCCCCAGGTTCCTGCCCCCCTTAAAGGAGGAGTCCACTGACCTCTCGGAGTGAGGAGCCCGATGAACACACGCAGACAGGAGGAGCTTCCCCTCAGAGCTGCTCTCCCCCCGTCCCCCACCCTCAGCACTCCCCCAATGCCCCCGCCCAATGCCAATCTCTCCCAGGAACCCTCAGACTCCCCAGGTTCCCTGCGCCGAGGGAGGCTGCTGACTCTTCCCTAAAGACACCCAAAAAAGCCCCAAAGGAGAAAAGGAGGGGCGCCGACAGTCCCCTCCAAAGCCCAGTGGTTGGAGCTGCAGGGGCGGTGCAGGGAGGGCTGCGGCCGCACGTACTAAGGCACAGCAGCTGGTATCTGGGATGCGCTTCGAGAAACTCCTCATGGGGTCGGTTTTTGTCTGGATCCTGATGTCCGCCGGCCTTCTTCCATTCATTTCCGAATGCCTTCCGGTAATCAAGCTCAGCCCCCCGCCTCTCCTCCGGCAGAATCTACAGGAAGGGGAATAAAAACAGGTCTCTTCGAGTACTTCTCTAACACTTGGCTTGTGTTTTGTACCCTGTCCTTCCTCCACTGCTCACCCATGGAGAATCACCACGTTGAGAGGGACAGGCCTTTTAGTTTTACCTTTCCTTTCTAACAGGGACAGAATTCAGGAGTTCACTGAAGAAGAAAATAAGAAGTTCAGTCTTAAGCCGGCGTCCGGCCTGCAGCAGCGGCTCAACACCCCCATGAGGTTGGCCCACAGGTGCCCCCCCAGCCCTAGGAGCAGATTATTCCAGGCGAGCAGCAGTTTTATGAGCAGAGTGGCTCAGAAGAAGAGAATAAGCTCTGTGGTTCCATCCTCTTTCTGCCTATAATCCCCCCAAGACAAAGGAGCAAGTACCCAGGACTCCTCGCCCCTTCTCAAGGGGCAGCCGAGCAACAGGCTTCTCCCGGACTCCACTGACCCACGCCGCCTCCTGAGGAGCCCGGAAGAACCATCCCTGAGTAACGCACAGGGCAACAGTTCACCATCCGGAGGGAAACTGCACTGATAACCCTTTGCAACATTCCAATTTTTCACATTTCTTGATCACTTGTTTCCTACTCTACCCAGCATCCAGTCCTGCTCCCAGCACTCACCTCGCATTTGTTCAGGGTCTTCAACTGACCGATTTTGGCGATGATGAGCTGACGCGTGGTCTTTGCTTCCTTGCTCCCTTCGGTCAGGGGGTTTCTGATGCAGGACAGAGCGTGCAGACTCTGTAGCTTATCCAGCTCGTTGATAAATGGCCACTGAAACCCAGCAAAAGAGAATATGTGAAAATGAACATGTTTCAGACTAATTTCTTAGAGTATGTGAACTAGCAAGAGAAAAGCAAAAGCCCTGAGGCGCCTGGGTGGCTCAGTGGGTTAAGCGTCTGCCTTCTGCTCAGGTCATGATCCCAGGGTCCTGCGATCGAGTCCCACATCGGGCTCCCTGCTCCATGGGAAGCTTGCTTCTCCCTCTCCCACTCCCCCTGCTTGTGTTCCCTCTCTCGCTGTCTCTCTGTCAAATAAATAAAATCTTAAAAAAAAAAAAAAAAAAAAGCAAAAGCCCCTAGTTCCAATCCGAGGCACGGGACTGTCCTCATGCACCGAGCACCCACTAGGAAGACCATGCACTTTCACTCTAGAACTGTGCCATGTAAAATGACAGTCTGCTTACTGTGACTTAAACTAATTTCTTTCTTAATACTTTTGGGTTTTCTGAGGGGAAACATTTCTCTTTCAATTTAAAATATTTCTTACTACATCAAAATGAAAAGCTTCTGCACAGTGAAGGAAACCATCAACAAAACTAAAAGGCAACCGACAGAATGGTAGAAGATATTTGCAAATGACACATCCAATAGAGAGTTAGTATCCAAAATAAATAAGGAGCTTAGCAAACTCAACACCCAAAAAACAACTGGATTAAAAATGGGCAGAAGACGTGAACAGACATTTCTCCAAAGAAGACATCCAGATGGCCAACAGACACAGGAAAAGATGCTCAACATCACTAATCACCAGGGAAATGCAAATCACAACCACAATGAGAGATCACCTCACACCTGTCAGAATGGCTCAAATCAACAACACAGGAAACAGCAGGTGTTGGCGAGGATGTGAAGAAAAGGGAACCCTCCTACACTGTTGGAGGGAATGCAAACTGGTGCAGCCACTCTGGAAAACAGTATGGAGGTTCCTCAAGAAGTTAAAAATAGAGCTACCCTATGATCCAGTAATCGCACTACTGGGTCTTTACCCAAAAAATACAAAACACTAACTTGGGGATACATGCACCTCTATGTTCATAGCAGCATTATTTACAATAGCCAAACCATGGAAGCAGCCAAAATGCCCACTGATTGATGACTGAAGATGTGGAACATATACACAATGGAATATTACTCAGCCATAAAAAACAATGAAATCTTGCCATTTGCAACAATATGGATGGAACTAGAGGGTGTTATGCTAAGTGCAGTAAGTCAATCAGAGAAAGACAAATACCATACGATCTCACTCATGTGGAGTTTAAGAAACATAACAAACTAACAAAAGAAAAAAGAGACAAACCAAAAAGATACTCTTCTTAACTATAGAGAATAGATGGTCACCAGAGGGGAGGTGGATGAGGGGGATGGGGGAAAGAGGGGAGGGGATTAAGGGTACATCAATCTCGATGAGCCCTGAGTAATGTATGGAACTGCGAAATTACTATACTGTACACCTGAAACTAACAGAACACTGCACATTAACTATACTGGAGGTAAAATTAACTTTATAAAGAATATTTTTAAAATGCAATAAATATTTTGTAACGGAAGGAACCGACAAACTCCTGGTGAGAGTGACAATGAGAGCTCATGCGGTATGCACGTTCTGCAGAAGCCCTTACTTGTGATATCTGATTGTCATTTACTACAAGGTACTGCAAGGAAGGAAACATGGATGTTTTGTGCCCTAGAAAAAAAGGAGAACGAAGTTACACAGCGGAAGTGAAAGAAAGAGCTCAATTATGAGGTACTGGGCAGGGGAGGGGAGCTAATGATCTTACATACCAGGTCCAGCATCCGGAAAATGTATAGAAGAAATTCCAATGTCAGAAAGGATTAGTTGTTCTAATCTGAAATTTAAAATGTTAAATTTGATTACAAAGCACAATAGAAAATGCTATAGGCTATCAACCGGACTGCATCTATAATTTCTCCCCCCACACCCTAGGTTCTTGTTCCACGTGAAATGCTTAGAAAAAACCACAGAGTGCAATTTGGGGCACTCGGGGTGGACTCTAGAATGTGTTCTGAGGATTCTACAGTCACCCAGCCGTTCCTGGTGTGCATGGCTGCGCTACGTGCTCATGGGTCTCGGGGAGGAAAGAGACATGGTCTAATTTCCCAAAGGTTAATGAATGAAGACTTTTGACATCAGCACCAGGGCCAAATTATTCATTCTTCAGTTACCTACTGCAGACGTAGACTACAGTGTATGCGGTTCACAGGGACATTCTCCACATGAATTCAAATAAAAGTGTCCCAACAGGAATCACTCAGTTTGTGAATTCCATCATCATATTTCCACTGAGAAAGCAAATACAGCATATGATCCATTCACTAAAAATTTCCTAAGCACTATTGCAACTGGCATTTTAGGAGCAAATTACCTGGGCAGATAGGCTATTAGAAGCAGCTGATTTTCATCAATTAATTGATTAGAGGAAAGGTCTAATAATTTGACTGTCTGTAGAACATCAGCCGGCCTGTGGAAAATAAAAGCATTTCAACATGAATTTAATCTCTTAATTGTTTTCAAAGATATGGCCTTAAAATACCACATTTAGTGTAAAGGAGAGGGCGAGGCAGGAGGCAGGCGGATAGCACCACACAAGGGAAACATGGGGGGCCTAGTGGTGATGGAAACGTTCTACATCTCGACTGGACCGATGTCAGGACCCTGGCTGTGATAAGGTACCGCAGCTCGGCAAGATGTTACCGAGGGGGGCATCCAGCTCATGGGTACAGGGGATTTCCGGGTATTCTTTCTGGTAACTGCATGGGAATCTCAAATTATCTCAAAATAAAAAGTGTAATTTGGAAACACTGCAGGGTCACCTGGGTGGCTCAGTCAGTGAGTGTCCAACTCTTGGTTTTGGCTCAGGTCATGATCTCAGGGTTGTGAGATCGAGCCCTGAATGGGGCTCTATGCTCAGCACGATGTTGTCCCTCTCCCTCTGTTCCTCCCCCACTCGCTTGCTCTCCTCCCCTCCCTAATTGACAAATAAAATATTTAAAAACAAAATAAAAATAAAAACACCTGCATTTGCCTGTATAATAAATAGTTCCGTACAGTAAAATCTCATTAACTTGAATCGTTCAATGAGAATTTGTTGTAAATTTGCCATGTTTAGTTTCAGTAATAATTTAATGATAATCAACAAAAGAGAAAGACAATGTATTTAATTTACTTAAGGAGAACAAGCTTTTACTATACTTTGGTACACCAACCTTAAGCAGATAATGCTAACTAAAATGTATTATTTGAAAAAATAATAAAATAACTAAAATGCATTCTTTGATCCTTATAAAGCATCTCCTAAAGAACCTCCATTTAGAAAGAGAAGTTAAATATATTTCTGTGAAACTAATAAAATCCCTGTCTTCAAATATATTTAACTCAAGGCTCTCACTCTGATGGGCTTTTCCTCAATTAAAACCAATAATCAGTTGGCATCCTACTTCGTGAAGAGTAAGCATGCTTCCTAATTCTTATTGGCAAATCCTTTAAAAAATCAGTGTGAGGCATCACTGAGACCGTTTATGTATTCAGACCAGATGGTGACGCATGCACATAAATAAACCCTTGTCACCTTTCTGAAATGAAAAGATCGTTGGACTTGAGGTACAGCTCCTTAAGGACTGGCCATCCAGAGGCACACCGGAGCACCTAGTGGACAGGTGACAAAGTATTTCAATGACACAGGAGCGTATACAGTCTGGTAGCTGTGAAGGCGTCCTCCGGGGAGGTCTTGAACTGTCCGAGCACCTAGAAAGCAGACGTGCAGACGGGCACTGCGCGCACACGCATCATGTGACACGGTTTGCTTCAGCGAAGGAAGGAACTTGATGTTAAACACGGCTGCTCAGTTCTCAATGCCACCCCGGGTGTGTAAAGGATACACTCATCAGATGGTGTTTCCTAACAACTACTTCTACATTTTCTCACTTGAGCTTTGCCACCATCTCTAGCACCTGAATTTCTATGTGCCCGGCCTGTTCTCACGCTAAATCTAAACCCACCACCAACGAAGGAGCGCTGGGAGCACACGCGCACCGGGAAAGGTGACTTGTCTCTGAGGGCGGCGCCCCAGCGGCATTTCACAGATGAAGGACTTTGCCTTCAAAAGCTGCGAAAATGGAATATTCTGGGCGTGTGAGGTCAGTTCACCTCGGATAGAAAAATAGCAGTGCCAGATATAAGTTCCAAATGCTGCCGGGCGAAGCAGCCACAAGTCCACTTTTGAACCCAGCTGTATACGAGGCACAGTGGACTCCAGGAGCCCAACTTTAAACAAGAAAAGGATGCGAGAATCTTCCGGCAGCTCTGCCTCGGAGCACTTGCGGGAAAACTGGGTGAGCTAAAAGCTCCATCAACAGCTAACGCGAGGGCTCTAAGTTAGGCATACGTTAACTGCACTTCGCTATGGAGTGCCACCGCCCAGAAAGACACCCCAGAACAATGCAGAAGGAGCCAAGAGAGAAAATCCCAATCCCAAAATACAAAATTCTACTTCACTACAACAATTCTGTAACTCCATTCTGTGAGTCAGTTTAAAGAATCCTATTATTTGGATAATAGGATGATTAAAATCAAGCCACAGTCGATCTTAAATTTCTTATTTCTGGGTAATAAACCAAAGAAATAGGATTACCTCTGCCCATGTTATTCCTGTTCGGTTAAGGACTAAAACCTTCAGTGCAGGAAATGTTCCGGTTCGAGACGGTGAACCCGAGGGAAAGCGGAGTTTATTCTCACTGTGTAGACAAAGAAGTCAAAATGTGTTGATTGCCTGCTCCCAGGAGGCCCGAGTGAAAGTCTCCAAAAGCAACAATTTGGGATCTAATATGAGGAGTTTGGTTTGTTTCGACCTCAAAGTGAAATTAATTCAAAACCAAGGGAGTCCAGGGCGCCTGGGTGGCTCAGTTGGTTAAGCGACTGCCTTCGGCTCAGGTCATGATCCTGGAGTCCCAGGATCGAGTCCCGCATCGGGCTCCCTGCTCGGCAGGGGGTCTGCTTCGTCCTCTGACCCTATCCCCTCTCATGTGTTCTCTCTCTCTCATTCTCTCTCTCTCAAATAAATAAATAAAATCTTTAAAAAAAAAAAAAAAAAAACCAAGGGAGTCCAGTCTACCTCATTTTTAGTATTTGCGATACATGACTTTTTGGTATCTGATGTGCACAGATGTTCTCAGAGGCCCGAGGCAGCTGGCTGAGCGTAAGGCTCAGGCGTTCAGATCAGCATCCAGCTCGCAAGGCTCTGGGCCCCGCAAAATCCAGTGCCCTCTCAAGCGTTGTGCTGATACACTGCCCCAGGGGCTACAATCCTGCTCCTCCAGAGTCTCTAAACCGCTCTCTTGCTATCACGATGGACAAAATCAATCACTGCCTTCCCGATGCTCTCTTGCGATCCTCACCTCAGAAAGTGCTCAATCCTGAGTCATTGTGAAGGAAGGTACCATGAAAACACATGAGCCCCTATTTCCAGAAGAGGAGGCGCCAGGGGTCAAAGGACACCCTTTGCCCTCTTTGGAGCACCACGGATTTAGGCCCGACTCCCCGCTCTACCCGAACCTGCCTGAGCCAGGTACGAGCCGCCTGTCCATGCGAGGCTGGCTCGAGTACCTTCACACTTTCAGCCTGGCTGAGCCCTCGGGGAATCAGGTTCTAAGACTGAAACTAACCAAGGGTTTGAAGAAGCCTGGAAAACGGTGCCATCAGTGAAACATGCAGATTGGTGGACAATCCTTATCAGAATTGAAGGAAACAGCATTCCGAAGAAAGTGCTCATTCCTACGGCAATTAAGTGCCAGAAGCTTCAGGATGAATAAGCACTTTTCACAGCACCTCTTCTACTCCCCACTTAAATATCAACTCCCCCAGAAGGCCCAGCCTTCATGGTTAGGCTCACAGGAGACCCCAAGATCTCCCAGCTCAACAGGCCCACCCACCTCCAGCCAACCAAAAGACACCCCCCCCCAAAAAGGGGCACCTATCTAGCTCAGTCAATAGAGCATGCGACTCTTCATCTTGAGGTCGTGACTTCGAGCCCCACATTGTTGGGGAGAGCTTAAAAATAAACAAGGGATACTTGGGTGGTTCAGTTAAGTGTCCATGTGTTGTGATGAGCACTGGGTGTTATACGCAACTGATGAATCATTGCACACTACATCAAAAACTAATGGGGGCGCCTGGGTGGCTCAGATGGTTGGGCGTCTGCCTTCGGCTCAGGTCATGATCCCAGGGTCCTGGGATTGAGCCCCACATCAGGCTCCTGGCTCAGAGGGGAGCCTGCTTCTCCCTCTCCCTCTGCCTCCCCCTCTGCTCGTGCTCTCTATCTCTGTGTCTCAAATGAATAAATAAAATCTTTAAAGAAAAAAAAAACTAATATAATATACTGGCTAACTGAACATAATAAAAAATAAATTTAAAAAAAAGTTTCCAACTCTTGATTTAGGCTCAGGTCATCATCTCAGGGTCACGGGATCCAGTCCCAAGTTTGCTCCTCACTGGGTGTGGAACCTGCTTAAGATTCTCTCTCCCTCTACCCCTCCCCAAACTCGCGTGCACTCAAAAGAAAAAAAGAAGAAGAAATTAAGTTTAAATACCACTAAGCCATCTCCCCCTCGTTCCCACAGAGATGCCGTGAGGGAAGGAGGAGAGGTCAGGGGTGACAAAATGGATGCCCAAGAGTTCATACCTGAGATTAAGAACTTCCAGGTGTTTGAGCTGATCAGCAATATCTAGGACTTCATCCCACGAGGACAACAGGTTTCTTGACAAATCTGCTTTTCTGATATCTCAAAGCACACATTAAGGAAGAGTAATACAGAAAGATTCACACAAGACACAACAGTCGTCCTGATGGACACCTGCTCACCGTGGTCCCTGGCTCTCATCGGTGTGATTTCCCTCATCTTGGGAGTTGGACTCTACACTGTTGCCCCTCCTGACTGGACTTTCCCCCAGAGGCTTACTATTGTCATTGCTTTTTGGGTGTCCCTAGGGTGTATTGCTGCACTTACTTGTCCACGGGTTTCATCTGCTGACGGGTTAGCCGCGATGGCTCCCTCTACCTAAGGTCAAAGATCCCACTTTTACTGGCCAAAAAAAAAAGAACAGCCATCACCTCTGAATTCTGGAGCACGGATCTTTAACTTCTCACCTTTTACCCTCTCTTCTGCTTGAAATTTTTTCACAAGCACATGCTACTTTACCTTTTTAAGTCACCCAACTCTTCGTTTAGAAATGAAAACGTTCACTGTCATCTGCTGCAGACTTGAGACAAACATCTACAATCAAGTAAGTAAGAACCAAATGTCCTACCCAGTGCCAAACCATTCTTGCAGTATCCAACAAAAAGAGAAAAAAAGAACAATGGTGAGTTTGCTTTATTAAGCGCCTACGGTGCACGCATGGGCCTCGACCCGGGCACTCCTTCTGGTGGCGGCCTCGCGGCCACGCACGCACCTTCAGTCTCTGCACCGCGGGAAGCCCCAGGTCACTAGCTGCACCTCCAGAGCAGATGATGGGGGTGAGCATGGACAAAGGTTCTAAGTGCTAAGAATGATTTGGGAATTCAGAGAAGGAGAAACCAGCAGGACAGAGAGAAAAAGGCGCCTGAGCTCAGTATCTCGGGGGAGTGCGGTGCCATCAAGAGGGGTGCAGCTCAGAACCCCCGGACAGAGAGATGGAAGAGAAGCCTGGGGCAGGACTGGAGCCGCTAAAGGAGGATCTCACACACGACTCTGCTATGTTGGGGAATCAGTCATTCTTCTGTCCCACGACTGCCGGGGGGCCAGGAGCAGAGCAGCGAACTCAACAGTCACAGCTCGGGAGACGGTGACAAGTACGTGCCTCTGCAGTATGCCACATACAGACACAGGCTCAGAGAAGCAGCCGAGGATGCAGGAAAGGGGTGTGTGGGTACATTACATACACTGGTTGTGGAAGACTATCTTCGCTGTGAAGGTGCCATCTGAGCAGAGAACCACAGGAAATGAGGAAATGCCATCTGGGAGAAGAGCATCCGGGCAGAGAGAACAAGACAAGCAAAAGCCCTGAGGTTAGAACGGGTTTAGGTAAAGGGAGTGGGAGGTGCTGGAAATGAGGGTACAAAGGCTGCAGGGGCCAAGGCCACGCCACAAAGGGCCTTGCAGGCCACTACGAAGTCTGGACCATGGGGTTGGTTAGCAAGGGTAGGGGTCCAGTCCGGTAATCCTTCACTTACTCATACTCTCCATCGTGGAGGCTCAGATTATAAACACACCTGCTAGTCTATCCAGAGCACACAGACCACCTGCACTCTGAAATCAACTCTAAACAACCCGGCAGTTGTCATGAGTGCCCCTCATGCGCATGCACGCACAGGCCAAGCAGCTCCGGGCGCTACGTGGTTCCGGCTCGCAGGCACAGACTCTACCCAGCCCCCCCCAACCCCCCCCAACTCCCCCCCCCCCCCCCCCCCGATGCAGAGCCAGCTAGCAGAGCAGGAGGCAGCTCATCCTCCCTCCAGAGGAGCTTCCCAGCTCGGCAAGCGGCCCAACGTCCTGGCGGAGGGAGTGACCTCAAAGGGCGCCACCCGAAAGGGACAACTGGATTAGACACAGACAGTACTTCTGCTTCAGGCAAGAACTCAATCAGCAACTGGAAGACATTCATCACTGTACCTGCAAACATCAGCCGTCACTTGATCATCTCATGAAACCGCATTTCTTCAAGACTTGGGGGACGTTTTCCCCAGGAAAGAACAGCATCGGCAAGCAAGATGTGGGCTCCCCAGGACCCTGCTGACAACTCTGAGCAACCAAACCCACCTACTGGCCACATCTTCTCTGATACGCTGAAAATACGTCTTGAACCACCCAATTCCCAATCTTCTGAAATCATTCAGTAGCCGGCAGTAGGCAGATCACAGAACATTCCAGACACCACTGTGGCATCCTGCTCCCTACCAAACACCACCATCTGCTTCGCTTCCCCTAACCACGGAGGATGGGACTGTGTTGGCCCAGCTCGCTGGGGCCCATGGAGGGGCTGCTCACGGGCAAGGTGACCAAGTCCTGACTGAGGGGGTCAACCCCGCAGACACACTGGCTGAGGAGCTCTGCTCTAATTTCTGTTACCACAAAGCATGCACCACAGGGATAGCTAGAAACAGCTGGCTAAAGACAGCTGCCCATTTGCCATCTCTTCCCTTGGAGAACACGGATTATAAACTGTCTTTGGCATAAATTATTACACAGAGATTAGGCAGGCTTAAAGAACTGTGAGAAAACCTTTGAAAGTTCGAGAAAGTCTCTTTCATTTGCCAGGGGGATTTTTCTTTTAAACTGACCTATGTTTTTAGTTGTGGGCATGAAAGCAATATAGGGCAAACACAAACAGAAACCACTTCTAGAAGAAGGTAGAGAAAAGAGACTACAAGTTTTGGAAGGGCCTGTTTTGAGCTCCTGTGACAAACAGCACGAGCGGCATGAAACAGGAGAGTATTTTGCGCACTCACAGGAAGGCAGTCCAGGAGGGCTGGTGTGGGGGCCCCGGGGTGCGGGTGAGGGCTTTGCCTCCTCTCTCCCTGTCCACACTGGACGCTCTGCACACGAGATGGCTGTCAGGCCCCGGGCGCTCTGTGTGCCAGGGTAATGGCTTGGGGCAGAAGGCAGACGCCAGCCAAGTGTGTCCCTGTGTGAGGAGCCCTGTCCAGACACTTTTGCTTCACATTTCCTTGGCTGGGGGGGAGTCACAAGGCCTCACCTGAAGGCAGAGGGGTCCGGGAAGGTAAATAATTTCCCGGGGTGGCAACTGGCCCAGGGGAGACGCAGATGCCCTGAGGAAGAAAGTCGGGGAGAACAGACACCAGGTGGGCTACTGGCCGTGTCCGGCACAAGCGTCAAGTTCAAAGTCAGGTTCGCAGTGAAAAGGATACTAGGACATGCTTTGGCAATTGTTCCTCTGTCACCAGCACAATTCACTGCACAGTTCCTCAGAGAAATTTCTTGCAACTTGCTCAGCTGACTGCATGAAAAACATATAGTTCACACGTATGCATAAACATGTACACAGCCACTGGCCCTTTAAAAAGTTAAAAAGCATTTCACAGAAGAAGTTACCAAAAATAACCAGTTTCAGAAATAAAGCTTTAGTAAAAGAGAAGAAAAAGAAAGCATTACACACACTACAAATATAACTGAAGTCCTTCGTGTCCCATTCCAGGATATTCCTTCCTCCTCTGCTCCCCCACACTGGGTGCTTGTTTAAACTTAAGCATTTAATAGTTTTACTACACATTTCCATATCCCTAAACAATCATAGCATTTTATCTATAATGAAACTTGATATAAATGGTATCCTACTGTATTTATCCTCCTCCAAGCTACTTTTTCCCCCCAATGGTATATTGTTCAGCAGTGAGATTCAGCTACGTCAACCCATGTGCTCTAGAGCACTTGTTTTCATATCTTATAGACCACAGTTACTGTATTTACTCCTCTGCTGACATTTCTATTATTCCCAGCAGGGCTGAAGTAAACACTATCGTATGCTTCTCGCATTCACTTGTGAAAGTCTCTCTAGGGTTATATCCTGGAGAGCGTGCATATCTTCAGCTTTACTAGATAATCTCAGAAGCCACGTTTTAAGTGTAGAGGATCTGCATTAATCCCAATCCCACCACTTCCTTGGGCCTTAGGGGAGTTAGAATCTCTGTGCCTCGGATTCCACAGCTTTAAAATGCTGTGGTTTATGCGCTTGTTCAAGCAGCATTACCGCTGTAGCCCAAGGGGGGAAACAACCCAGATGTCCATCGATAGATGAATGGATAAACGAAGTATGGTACGTCCATTCAATGGAATATTACCCAGCCTTAAAAAGGAAGGAAATGCTGACATACAATACAATGTGGGTAAATCTGAGGACATTATGCGAAGGGACAGAAGCCAATCACAAAAGGACAATACAGTAGGAATCCACTTATGTGAGGTCCCTAGAGGAGTCAACTTCACAGAGATAGAAAGTAGCATGGTGGCTGCCGGGGGCCAGGGGCTGCTGTTGGAGTGGGACAGAGTTTCATTTTGGGAAAGTTCTGGAGATGGATGGAGAGGATGACTGCACAACACCGTGAATGTACTTAGTGCTACCAAACTATACACTTAAAAATGGTTAAGGTGGTAAATTCTGTATTGTGCTTTTTACAATTTTTTAAATGCTATAATTTAGTATTTGTGAAATCTCAGAATACTGCCTGACATACAGTAAGTTATTTTGTAAGTATTTATAAAAATAAACAAAAAACTGACCACCCTTGGGGGAAACACTCCGATTGAAACGCCAGGCATGTGCTATTACAGTAATGAGAAACTGGGGGAAAGGCAGCAACAAAGGTCTAGGGCAGAGGCTCCCAAACTGGCTCAAGTTCACAGCGCCCTTGGTGTTTCAGTAATTTTTTCAGTGTGCCCGTAAGTCAAAACAAAACAAAACACACCACAGTTTACATTTAGTAAGTAGTTAGGGCCAAACAACGTAATAATTATGTGTGTCCTTCAAACTGAGTGTCAGTTGGGCCCAGCACAACTTCCTAAACCCTGGAATCAGATTGGACATCGCTACCTTCATGTCTTGTTTCACGATGCTTTTCAGGAGATACTTGCTTTTTTATCACAGGAACACCAAAAACCCAGCTTTGCAAGCATGGGACACCAATAAAAGGATTTGTAGGATTATCACGAAACTGAACAACTTCAAACTAATAGTTTGCTCCGTGTCCAACAGAGGCCACTGTTTCCCTCTAAAATTAAAAATGCCCGCTGTGCCCACTGAGTTGGCTGCAGTGCCCAGGGAAACCTTGCCACAGAACTTGGGAACCCAGTTCTCAGCACAGACCTCACTTCAGAGCCAAAGCCGTCTCCAAGAGAAGGGATACATACTGGCTTTTATTGGGGTTTTTTAAATTCCGTTTCCATAAGTCTTAGTGGTACAAACTCAGAGCTGGTCAGCTGGATATCGTTAAGGAGATACCACGATGGTTTCAAGTGGAGGATTCTTTCCAGTATTGACCCACAGTCTCCCGTGTTAGCCGCAGCAGGTCTAACAGCTTAGGTATTGTTTCGTAAAGGAGGAGACTCAGGCTTAGAACTTAGAAAGTGTCAGAGCTGGAAGGTGGCTAACGTCTGAACACAGCCTGACTCCAACACTGGGTCCGTTCCAAGGGAAACACTAGCTAACTATGAAACGCCATGATACTCCAGTAGTTAGGTCATGCACTAAAAGAATTCATGAGTTATACAGTCGTTCATAAGCTAGGGGAGGAAAATCTGTTTGCAATTTTCACAGAGCCATGGTATTCAGATTAGCCAGTAAGAAAAAATGTGCTTCTTTTGGGGTAAAAGATGTTTCAATATTTGCACCTTTTCCCCCCCAATAGTTGCATTTTAAATGGGAAGATGAAGCAAAGAACTCCAACCCTATAAAGCACATAGTTCTTTAAATCCAAGTAAACCAGTAGGATCAAGAGCAAAAAAGATCCATGAAAGTTATCTCTCAGTGGTAGCATGAGTCACGACTTCCTTTTGTTTGATTTCTATTTTCTAAATTCTCAACAGTGAGTGTAAGCTGCTTTGTAATTAACGGTCAAGTTTTTTTTTTTTTTTAATCTCGATTTATTCTGAGTTTTCCTCCTTCACTTATTTTTTATTGAAAAAAATCCCACATAGGAAGAGTATATGCATTAGCCTACCTCTACATCAGTACACATCTCAGTGATTTTAAATAAATACGCACAGGTCACCATCACCCAGATCAAGAAATACATCCCCGGAACTTGGGAAGTCCTCTTTGTGCCCCTGACCCTTGCTTCCTCCCCTCAAAACCATCTAGCCTGACTTCTAACACTATCGATCAGTTGTGCCCGTTGTTGACCTTCATACAGACAGAATCATTCAAGGTGTACTTCCTTGGGCTGGACGCTATGTTAATGAGATTTCACCCGTATTGTTGCCGCGAGCAGTTGTTTTTGCTCACATTCACTGCCACTGAATGAATACAGCATAATTTATTTATCCATTCTATGTTTATAGGTATTTGGATGGTTCCTCTGAGTTTTCTGTTGTTGTTGCTAAGGCTGGTCACCTACGCTAAAAAGCAGAGGTATCCAGAAATGAATTTATTCTTCAACATGGTCACCATGCGCACTTTACATCTGGTGTCATGTTAAATCTTCACAATAACGGCAAAATAAGATAGCAAATAAATGGACTTAAACAAAACCACGGTTTATTTGACTTGAGAGGCAGAGAAAGTAAGAAGCCAAGTGGCTACAAATGTACTCTCCACTGTGGCCACCAGGGGGCACTACTAGGCCACCTTCTCCGGGTCCGGGTCAAACACTACAGCACTGACCCTCATCTGAAAGGTTCTTGTGCAGTTGTGTTTTTGTGGAACATCAGCCTCTACTCACTGTGATTCAGCCTGTGCATCGGAGTGGGCAGAAGGCCTCTTCACAGAACCAGTGTACAGAGAGTTTCAGAGAATGGAATGTTTGCACTCAGCAGCTTTATAGGGTGTTATTTAGTGTCCCTCACACTTCTACATAATAATTTGGGGTACTTCTTAAAAGCAAGAGCCCATGGTATTCTGATCCAGGTCTAGGATGGGGCCCAGGATTCTGCAATTTCACAAGCACCCCAGGGAAGAAAGGGTGTGCGTCCAGAGATGGAAATTAACTCGGTTCTAGATGGGCCCAGCATGCCACGTGGCAGTTAAAAACTTAGAGCTCTGTTTCCCCTTCTGACTTATCACCCCGCTAGAAATGTCACCATGAAATAGAAAAGGACCAAAATGTCAATCTCAGTTACTTATTAGACAAGATGGCTGGTATAAATATTAGTGATGGGCAAACTAATGTTTTAATTCCAATCCAGAAAAGCCCAACAACCCTACGCTAAATTAAGAATTTTAATTTCCCCGAAGACTCAGTCCTCGGATTCCTCTGATTTCAATTTGCTGTTTGTGCAGAAAGGACAGACCAATTTGGAGGCAAAGTTCTGAGTACCAACATACAGTCTGCTGAACTTCAATTCTGAACAGTGATGAAACCGTCAAAGTCATTTCTGCCACTATCAAGCCTACATACCTTTGCTGTTTTATAATAGAGTCAAACCCAATAGTTTCCACGGGTTTATTTCCAATTAGAACGATTTGCTCTTTTACATCCTCCTCTGGTCCATCTTCTAACACATAGCGATTCTTCACTGCAGTGAGAAAGTCCACTCCAAAATTTACTTTGTTGGGACGAATAAAGGATCCTCCTGTTGGGTGCCTGGAAAAAAAGAGAAATAGAACAGATAAAATATCATCAATGGGGACATTTAAATAAGATGACACATTCAAGGGGCCCCTGGGTGACTGAGTCGGTTAAGCGTCTGATTTGATTTCGGCTCAGGTCATGGTCTCAGGGGTGTGAGATCGAGACCCGCGTTGGGGAGTTGGTGTGAGGATTCTCTCTCTCTCTCCCTCTTCCTCTGCCCCCCGCCTGCTCGAACACACTCTCTCTCTCCCTCTAAAATAAATAAATCTTTAAAAATTTTTTTTTAGGGGCGCCTGGGTGGCTCAGTCGTTAAGCGTCTGCCTTCGGCTCAGGTCATGGTCCCAGGGTCCCGGGATCGAGCCCCGCATCAGGCTCCCTGCTCCGCGGGAAGCCTGCTTCTCCCTCTCCCACTCCCACTGCTTGTGTTCCCTCTCTCGCTGCCTCTCTCTGTCAAATAAATAAATAAAATCTTTAAAAAAAAAAAAATTTTTTTAAATGACACATTCGAAAATCCTTTATAAACTGTCAGTCTGCCACAAATGTAAAATGCCTACATTTACAAATTTGTTTATAAATATAGTAGCAAACAAAAGCAATTACAAATTTTTTTTCAAGGTTTTATTTTTAGGTAACCTCCACACCCAATGTGGGGCTTGAACCTATAACCCTGAGCTCAAGAGTTGCACGCTGTACTGACTGAGCCAGCCAGGTGCCCCAGCAATCACACAATTTTAAAAAATAAAGAAAAAGAAATTATCATCCACCAGAATGGCCATAAATGCAGTGTTCTGAAGGTGTGCAAAATTTTCTCTATGCTGAAAAATCAAAATCAGCATAAAAGGGAAAGTAATATACAAACGTATAATCGATATGATTGATCAAAAAGGGTTGTGAGCTTATACAAGCGTAGTAAGTCCCAACAGATAAACAGACAAGGAATATGGGACAATTCACATAATAGGAAACAGAAGTATTAAATCCACAGGGGAAAGTTTTACCTTGCTCATGATTAAGAAAGGCAAATTCAAATAATGAAACTCTTTTCAACAAAACTGGCAAAAATAAAGAAAAATCCTAACACCTCAAAGACTGCAAGGCCAGGTTTGGTTTTGATTGTATAATCATACTCCTGAGAACTTGTCAGCAGGCAATAATTTAAAAATAAAAAACAAAATTGCATTTACAAAGATTCCGTATAATAGCATTTATTTGTAACTGAGGAACTCTGGAAACCATAAAAAAGCCCAGCTGGATAGGAACTATTAAGTAGACCAGACAGATGTAGTCATTAAAAATTCTAGCTGTAACACTTAATAAAATTACTCACAAAATAATGTTGAGATTTCTAAACACTAAACCAAATTGTACATGACACAGCTATAGAGGAATCACATCTACAGACAGACAGAGGTTGAATGACACAAAGATGAAAACATTTGTGGGTAACAGACTTAGGTACAAAACTTGAACTAAATATATTTTAAAAGGTTAAATATGGGGCACCTGGGTGGCTCAGTTGGTTAAACTTCTGCCTTCAGCTCAGGTCATGATCCCAGGGTCCTGGGATCGAGCCCCGCATCAGGCTCCCTGCTCAGCGGGGAGTCTGCTTCTCCCTCTCCCTCTGCTGCTCCTCCTGCTTGTGCTCACTCACTCTCTCTCTCTCCCCCTCTGTCAAATAAATAAATAAAATCTTAAAAAAAATAAAAGGCTAAATATGAGGCTAAAAGAGAGAATGTGGGAAGAATTCTACAGAAATATAGGATATTTCATCACAATTTCTATTCAGGTTTTAGAGCAATTTTTAGTAGATTTAATACTAAGACTAATCATATTACTGTATGTAATGACCACTTTGTCAGGCTTTTCAAGAGATTCAAAATGGGTCTCTGCACCCCTTAAATTTCAGGCTTCAGCATTACATCATGGCAATGAGACCTTATTTTCAGGATGATCTAAGTAACCACTATAAAACAGTCGTAAATGTTATTATCATTTGATCACTTAGGAGAATAAATGATGAAATACATATATTGCCAAAAATTATAAACACTATTTCAGCTCATAACCTTTGACTCTTAAAGAAATCAAAGCTAGCTAGAAGTCACCATAAGTAAAAAGGATGAAAACTCAGACTGATAAATTTCATCCATATAAACACACACTTTTCTACAGTGGGTCCGCAGAGATGACCACAGTGTAAAAGGGGCTTGTGATCCCCAAAAGTTAGAAGTGATGCCACGGGTAAGAAGAAATGGCCCAGAGGTCGTTGGAACCCCAGAGTGTGCGGTCCTGGAAGCCGGTGAAGAAAGTGGACAACCAGGTCCAGCACTAGGGAAGGATGCAAGGTGACAGCTGAGGCTGGCCACCAAATCTAGCGCCTGGAAGTTAACCCTGGTAGAAGCCGTGGGGTAGCAGCCCAGTGGGCAAGCTCCAGACACTGAGAGGACAGGGGGCCCTGGCTACTCTCGTCCCGAGGGGCTTTACTGCAAAGGGGAGAAGAGCACAGGGCAACGGCTGCAGGAACACAGGGTATCAGAAGAGGGAATGTCTGATGATGTGTGGGCATATCAGATCTGGATGCTGCTGAAAATAATCCAGTGGTGAGGGGAGAACTGATGATGCAGGAAATTAAATTCTCTGTTGCAGTAAAATCAAATTCTGAGTCTGTACAGTATGTTGTGATATCAGAGGATCACAGACTACCAGAAGCTTCCAAGAAAATGTTACATTTTAACCCTAGGAAACGTTCATGTTGTAAAAAACAGTTCTGGGAGTGCCTGGGTGGCTCAGTTAAACTTCTGCCTTGGGCTCAGATCATAATCTCAGGGTCCTGGGATGGAGCCCTGTTAGAGCTCTGCACTCAGCAGGGAGCCTGCTTCTCCCTCTCCCTGTGCCCCTCCCCCTGTACCCCTCCCCTTTTGCCCCTCCTACCCCTCTCAGGCATGCTTGCTCTGAGAGAAAGTATTTTTTTTTTAAAGATTTATTTATTTATTTGAGAGAGTGAGAATGAGAGAGAGTACATGAGAGGGGAGAGGGTCAGAGGGAGAAGCAGGCTCCTCGCCAAGCAGGGACCCCGATGTGGGACTTGATCCAGGGACTCCAGGATCATGACCTGAGCCAAAGGCAGTTGCTCAACCAACTGAGCCACCCAGGCGCCCATGAGAGAAAGTATTTTTAAAAGATTTTATTTATTTACTTGTGTGAGAGAGAGAGAGAGAGAGCATGAGCAGGGAGAGGGGCAGAAGGAGAGGAAGCAGGAGACTCCCCACTGAGCAAGGAGCCCGATGCAGGACTCAATCCCAGGACCCCGGGATCACGACCTGAGATCAAAGCAGATGCTTAACCGACTGAGCCACACAGGCACCCCTAAATAAAATCTTTAAAAAAAAAAAAAGTGCTGTTTTAAGAAGCACAGTTATACTACTCAGCTAAAGAGATCAAATACAGCCAGCATCATTTTTTTTTAAGAGTTCAAAGGGATCTACTTCAGAGATCATCTAGACTAGGACTTCATAAACATAACCTAACCTTCTAAACATCTAAACATAATCAGAAAGTCCTCTGAAAATCTTACTGGAGGGGCGCCTGGGTGGCTCAGTCGTTGGGCGTCTGCCTTCGGCTCAGGTCATGATCCCAGGGTCCTGGGATCGAGCCCCGCACTGGGCTCCCTGCTTGGTGGGAAGCCTGCTTCTCCCTCTCCCTCTCCCCCTGCTTGTGTTCCCTCTCTCGCTGTGTCTGTCTCTGTCAAATAAATAAATAAAATCTTAAAAAAAAAAAAAAAAGAAAATCTTACTGGATCCTAGGAATCTGCTTGTTTAGAACAGTGCTCCAGGGCATTCTGACGTCGGTGGGCCTCATGTCCCACCTTAAGAAACTCTCATCTAATCCAGCCCCGTTTCAGTTGGGGAAACTGGGGTCCACTGTTAGAGGTATCACAGCCGTGACCAAAAACCTTGGATTTCTGACTACTAGTGTACTATCCTTTCCCACATTTCTGTCTGGGCTTATAATAAAGATACAAATCGACGCTTTATTTTGGTAAATTAAACACATTCCCTAACTTAAATTTCTAATCAACATGTATCTTCCCTTTTTTTTTTTTAAGTTTTATTTTTATTTAAGCAATCTCTACACCCAATGTGGGGCTCAAACTTACGACCCCAAGATCAAGAGTCACCACACTCTTCCGACTGAGCCAGCCAGGCGCCCTGACAGATATGTTCCTAAGATGGGAGGCAGGAGCAGGATGGAGATGGTACAGCTTTGGAGTCAGACAAACCTGGGATCCCTCTGGGCTCCATTACTTACTGGCTATGCGACTTCAGGGAGGCGATTTTATGTTCTCAGCCTGAGTCTCCTCATCTATCAAGCCCTATCAAATGAGGTTATTTATAAGGACTAAATAAGCCATAATAGATAAACCATCACTATATTGCCTAGCATAAGCCTTTCTATACGCACACACATCAAGGCAGCAGTCCTTTCTAAACAGTATTGTATCTAATATAGCATTAAACATAAGCCGACATCTTCTGAAACACTGGGATATTGCAGAAGCCACACTCTCTACACTCAAGCGGGGGCTGACAAATGTGTTCAGTTGGGCTCCTATGGTGTCTAGTATCAATGACATCATGACATAACAATTTCACCATATGGACTATGTACGGTTTTGCTAAGAAAAACTACAGTTACTAACATATGCAAGATAAAGTTCTTACACAACCTCAGGCAAAGTTGTTCTCCACTGCTACGTAAAAACTGCCCCAAAGCATAGCGGCTTAAAACAATGGTCTGCTCTTTCTTGTAATTCTGTGGGTTAGCTTGGCTCAGCTGAACTGTCCTTGTTTCTCATGGGGTCAGGTGACAAGATCCTGGTGACTGCACTCAGCTGGGAGTCAGCTGAGGCTTTAACAATCCAAGATGGTTCCAGTGAGATGACTGGCACCTGAGCTAAGTTGGCTTGCAATCACGGGGGGCTGGCTGGGCCTGTCTTCTGCATGTGGCTGTCC